CAAATGCTCTCTAAACTCAGAAAACAAATTAGTCCGAAAAACAAACAAAAAAATCAAATTTCAAGTGAATGCATTAGACTTCCGTAATTTTATTTTATAGGCTGTCATAAAAAATACAATTACAGAAAATTCATTGAGGTATTATCAGAATCACTTTTATTGGTTCAGGTTTGTAACTTCATCGCATAGAGTATATTTATTTTCATTATAGTTTTATTATATTTTACCCTTTGCACTACATTCCCCCGGTGCTGCTGTGCCAACTTCCAACACCGGCGATCAATATAGGAACACCTTATCGTATCTTATCTTATATGCACACATACAAAGAATCTGACTCTCGGTGTACAGACACAGAATAAGCATAAATAAACAGGACAACAAGATACACATAAGCTGCTATGTACAGTTATACACATACAGTATATACATATATATAAACAAAATAAATAATTGTAGACAGTTAGTGGAGAGAGGATGCTGAAATAAATGTTTACGTGCAGGTATTTTTATGTACATGAGGCAGGTGGATATAATAATATATACAGTATGCATTACTGTATTTAATTATTGGAACTTATTATTGGGAATTATTATTACTGTTAGTCTAACTCAGTGGATAAACTAACTTTTTTCCATAAAATATGTCACTTAGTTTACCTAACTTACTAAGTGACATTATGGATATTTCATATTTTAGTCAAAGGATAACAATAGTGCAAAACAACTGATAAATTCTACAATAAACCTAAATAGTGAATCTAATAACTGCAAGAAGTTTGTGTTAAGAAAAGCATGTGAATTTTGCATCACAGATGAGTGTTCTTAATATTTTTATACAATTATTTGTCTGTGTTATGTTATTTTAACAATCATAGATACTTAATACCTTTCTTCTTTTGACAGATTCAGTGTTTTATTCAGGTCTTTTTTTGGTTGTTTTAACTTTTCTAATGCAGGACGAGCTTGTTTTATCAGAGAGAGTGAAGAACTTGTATGTTAAGTGGTTATGAGTAATTTAAAGCTTAGAAACAACAATTGAATGTAGTTTTCCTTCACAGAAATGAATACTGAGAGAAAGGAGTACTGTGTAAATGTTCTGTGTGTATTTTTAAAGTTTCTTACACCCCTTAAAATCAAGAAAGCCTTGCGACCCCCCCCGGGTTGAGAATCACTGGTCCAACTTGCATTATGTAGCCAAAAGTATGTGGACCTCATTCCACATGCATCCTTTTGGACTGAGATTGTTTTAATGCTACAGGATACCATGATATTCTAACTTTGTGGCAACTGACCACAATGCCCCTGTGCACAAACCCAGGTGTACAAAGGAAGCCTTGGAAGAGTTGGACTGGCCTGCACAGACCGCTGACCTCAACCTCTTCCAACAGCTTTGGGGTGAGCTGGAGCACCAACTGTTGAGCAAATCCCTGTAAAATCTGGTGGAAAGCTTTCCCAGAAGGGTGGAGGCTGTTCTTAGCAGCAGATTAATGACCTTGGTTTTGAAATGAGATGATGTTTTTAGGCGTATAGTTAAGGGTATAGTAGGGTACTTGAAGGGATAGGGTCAAGGTCGAAGCCTGGATTTAAGAAATGCTGAGGTCGTGAGTGCTAATTTTTGATGGGCCACCCAAAAGTATGTAAATATATGTCTTTAAAATTCTATTTAACTTTTTTTCTCCCTACACTATAACACATATGCTGTTTAAAACCCTTCTCCACCATACCAAGGACAGTAATTCTAGTGGGGAAATACTGAATTCTTGTTTTTTCTGCCTACAAACTGTCGAATCAGCCTTAAAAACCCAACTGTGAGCAATATAATTATATAATGTAAACTCTTTGAATTCCCAGAAACAACACTGAGAACTTAGAGACTTAAACACAGAAGCAAAAATAACTCAACAAATATACAAGAATCAATATGATCAAGTATTATTTTATTCAAAATAAAAGCTCCAACAGTTTAGACCTCTTCATTAAATTTATGTCACTTTTGTAGCCACGAAGCAACACTTAACATAATACAGGCAGACATATAACACAATTATATTATTAACTATTTCAAGTGAGCAACAGAACAGTGTTTTAAAGGACAAACCTGTTATTCTATATTTTTTTTACTGTCAACAAATCCAATTAGAAGATCAAATGTCAAGTTCATGTAACAAAACTTTCAAACTTCTCTTCCGGCCTCAAGTTCGCTGGTTTCTACTGAAGATACATTTTTAACAATGGCTCAGTTATAACCTTAAACAGCTGGGCACTGCAGTTTTTAGCAAACTTTACTCAATCAGGAGGAAATACAACACACACACACACACACACACACACACACACACACACACAATTCATTGTTGTTGTTGACAATAAAATAAATACAGAATAACATCAACTTCATCATTTAACACCACCTCTAAAGTTTGCAGATCAATTTATAAATGTGATTCTACATCAGTTCTCTGCATCTTTGGTTGAAGTACAGGCAGTTTTTTATTATTAACCATTTTAATTTTAGTTTTCTGGAGGTAGCATGAAGGACAACCTTGTGAATGACAATAAAATATCCCCTGGATCCTTGAACATTCATCATCTGGAGCTGAGCAGAGAGTGCAGCAGGATGGCTGTAGCTACAGACACGTTGAGAGACTCGACCCCGGGGTGCAGCTCTCTGCCGGCTGGGATGGTGAGAAGAGTTTGGCACAGCGAGAGCAGCTCCCGGGACAACCCTTCCCCCTCGCCCCCCATCAACAACAACGTGGGTTTAGTCATCTGAAAGTGTGAACACTGGGTGACAGGAATCTGGATCTCCTCCGCTTCAGCTCCCACGGTGCCGACCACCTGCCAGCCCCGTGCCGCCTTCAGCCTCAGCATGTCTTCCAGGTTTTCATACCCGTACACGCCTATCACCTCCATGACGCCTGAGCTGGCCTTGCTGACCACCGGGGACAACGGACAGCTGTCGCGAAGACTGCTGGCGACTCTGTCCACGCCGAGGAAATAGGCAGTGCGCAGGATGGCGCCGAGGTTCATCGGGTCCTGAATTCCCTCCAGGACAAGCCAGAGAGGGGTGCGGCGGTCTTCCCTGCTGGGTGCTGAGTCTCTGCTTTCAGTGAGGTATCTCAGAGGACTGGCCTGCAGACACACTCCCTGATGTAGTCGCCCAGAAGACATCTTGTCCAGATCTTTCCTACTGACCCGATGGATTTGGACTCCTCGCTGATGGGCCACCTCACACACCTGCAGCACAGAAGCCCTGTGAGAGGCCTCGCCATCTTTTACAAACAGTTTACGGGCCGTCCTTCTACCCTGAGACAGAGCCAAGAGACAGGGAGCGATGCCAAACACAACCTCGTAGCTCTCTGCTTTGGAGTCCAGTGTCGACTGCTGTCTCCCCCGTTTCTCCCTCTCCGCAGGGAAATCATCCAGACACAGTCTCCTGAGTTCAGACGACACCCTGCTGTCGTCTCCCCTCCTCTGATTGTGCTTCACTGGGATCTCACTTTTCCACGCTTTGCTCTGACCTGACCTCTCACGATCCCGTCGTCCATCAGATGCATCAGGTTTGGGTTGGACCCCGGAGGTATTGAACACTTTGCGTGGTCTCTTCGGCACAGGGTTGAAGCTGCTGTCGTCTGGACTCAGGAGAGCAGCTGTGAGGTGGTAGGAGGCAGACTGAGAGCCCACTCTGGAGATTAAAACAGGAGTCTGCAATCTTCTGGTCCAGACAAGCAGCATCCTGTGCTGATGCACAATACTGAATACCCACATACTGACAGAGTTGGAAATATGTCCAGAGGCACTAAGAAGGACAGAGAAACGTGGTTCAAATGCCTGAGAAGTCCTTTAATCCACATGTGTGTCCGCAGAGTTCTTATCTATTATCTGTTATCTTGATTATTAAAGGCAGAAATGTTAAAGAGTTACCTTTGTTCAACCATCAACACCAACTCTCTCCCTCCATAGCTGCTGTGTTTGAGGTCTTTCTATGAAATACGCACATGTGCAACGCAGCTGCGTAAAGTACGCGGCATTACGGCCGGATGTCGAGCGCGTTTACCTATAAAATAAAAGCCTAACAAAACGTAATTAATGGCATTCAGAAGTTGCCCGATAAAATAAGAAAATTAACAGCATAATCCGGAGACTTTGATGTAGTCTTGAATATATTAATAATCCTTGGTGCTGATGCATTGAGCAGTTGTATATATTTAAGTATATTTGGTGTAAACATCCTGAACATAAACATCATGTGTAAAAAAAACACTGAACATACACCTTTAGTGTCCTTTAGTAGCTGAGGCTCATGAATTATGACATTATGACACAGAAACTACAACATCGAAGAATATCACAGTAATATATATATATATATATATATATATATTATATATATTTATATAATTTCCCTCTG